TCTTTTATTCAGAATTCAACTTTCATCCTGAAATAAACCTTCTCAACTATATACCTTATCCAATTTACTTTTACTAATGATGGTTTTTAGAATAGAATGTTAGAAAAAGTTCTAGCCAGATATTCATCAAGATTTGTTTCGTTTAAAGAAACCAACAGATAAACACACATGAAACACCCAATAAAATGGTGAAATTGTATCAACAATCAAAGATAAAATGAATTCATTAATAATTCTGTTAATGATTTCTGTTGATGATATTAGTTTTATCTTTTTTTCCTCAAACTCAACGCCTTTGCACAGCTGATTTATATTATCAACACTGAACAATAAACAACCTCTGGTAGTTGATGATGTGGAGATAGATAATAAAGAGGCAGGTTACCAGAAGAAGAGAAGAGAAGAAGATAAAAAAGATGAAGATGATGAAAGTAGGAGGTCAGGGTGTTGGTTTTGATGGTAGAGTAGAAGTGGGTAGATAAAAATTGGTTGATTAGTTATCATCCATACAAGGAAACCGGAACGGGAAATGAATGTTGTCAAAATGTGCACCGGTAAAAACCTCACAGACAAACCTCAAGACAAATGGTTTAGTTTTCTTTAAGGTCTAAACTCGACCAACATTATTATTATTTACCAAATTACCATTGACCAAATCAACAGAAATGAAGAGGAAAGTAGGATGATAATAATGATTCAGATGAAATGATGAAAACCTTTTTACTTTTACAAACTAATGACCAATAGGCAAGTGAATATATTTATTTACACATCTATCAACTGAGTCAACATTTTCATCTAACCACTGCTGGTCAGTGAAAATAAAAAGGTAATACCTTGATGATGATGATGATGATGATCATCCAATGATTATAGTTGACTGAATTACATGTCAACCCGCTTAATCATTATTTAATCAAACAATAATCATCCTGAAAACAGGTATTATGATTATTATTTTCAATTGAAAAGATAAATCTTGTTCAGTGAAACATGAATACCATGATTCCGTGAAACCATAAAATTAATTAATCCGCTAATACAGATTGTGTATAAACCATAATACTCAATGTATCAATTGGTGAAAATTGATTCATGGATGATCCTTGATAATATACCCAATATGAAATATTGACATGGATTTTGATTCAATCGCTAAGGTAAAAGGTAAAAGTCATTTATCAATCCTATGAACATTGATGTTATTATCGAGGTTAAAAAGTTCAGAGTAGGTTCAATCATTAGATTCCCTCAAGATATTTTGCCAACCATGGAATTCATTCAATCACTGATTTCAAATACTATTCAAATCTAAATAAATACTGAAACTGTTACCTTTAGTTATCTAGGAAAAATACAACTTGTTGATAAAAGTTTCGATTATATATTACAACGAGGATGGAAGAAAAAAACTTCTCTTGTCAATTTAAAAAAAGAAAAGTTAATTAAATCAATCAATCACAATTGAAACTTTTAACTCAAGTAATTGGCAAAAAAAAAGTTATTAATTGATTAAACCTAATCAAATAACATTTGAGATCATTGAATGATTATTTTAAGACTCGAGACTATAAAAAAGTAAGTTAATTAGCAAAAATAAAAACCATTCTATACAATAGTTAATCTGGAAATGTTTCAATTAACATGATAATTGACCTTAATTGTGATTCTAATGATGGTAAACAGTAGTTTGACAATAATAGTTAATTGAATGAAGATAATAAGGTAAAAACCAACATTACAAAATAATTAGGTTAATCTTATTGATAATCATTGAATCATGATGATGGAAAAGGTAAATTACAATTGTATTGGAATGGAGACAATTAAAAACTATCAATAAGACAGGAAAATATTCAAATACAACCGATGGACAATTTGAGGCAATGACATTTTTTTTTACAAAGGACAAAGACCACACAAAACAATCATGATGATGACAGTTAATGATTGTGCTCATGATGTTGATGAGAGAAGATGATAATTTATTAATCAGGAAGTAAACATTTTTTTTTTCTTCATCAATTGATGGGCAATAATAATGATAATAATGGTAATAAGAATCATGATAATCTTGAATAGTAATGATAAAACATGAATCTAAATTATCTGTATGAGCAATGATTATAACGTTGATGATTGATGATGTTGTATCTTGGGTTGATGAAGATGATGAGGTTCAATGATGATGATGATGGAAATGCTTTCGTAAGAAGATAAAAAGTATAAGCATTTTACTAAGAAGAAAAGAAATCAAAAAAGAAGATTCTTTTTTCTTAATCTTTCTTTTTCAATATCATAATTACTATCACGATGATTATGGATAATAATTATCTATTGCACACACATACAACTAATCGCTGTTGATTGTGAAAAAAAAGGAAAAATTGATTATCACCAATTTGATTTGTTGACTTTGTCTCAAAATACAATTAATAAATTGTCTAATAGAATTTAGTTTCTCTCTTTTATGTTTGTTAAATGTTAATTGTTTACACAAGATAATTAGCAAATTAATTGAAATCACATTTAGTTTTTTAATCATTAATCAAGTTACAAATTAATAGACACACAACATGTTAACTATTATATTGTTCAATTTACATTAATCAATATTTTATCATTGTTATCAGAACAGTTTAATTATTATCATCCATAATCTTCATCATCAACATGATTTATCAAACAATCTAATATTATAATAATTGAATCAAGATGTGTTATTAATTTGTAATTTATCAATATCATCAGTGAATAAATCATGAATAATTAAACAAAGTAAATGAAAAATAAACAAAAAAGTTAATTACTCTATTGATCTAATGGTCATTCAAAGCGTTTTTGTATTGTCATTATCAATATTTAATCAGACAATGATAATGAAAAGTCAAGAACTTGGTGATAATCATGATGAGGATGAGAGAGAGAGAGAGAGAGAGAGAGTTTTATTTCAATTCACTCCCTCATCTGCATAGTATTGAAAGTTCATGTTCATGGGGATTCAGAATGTTTAGATCTGAATTCAAATACTGTTTACTTATGTCAACATGTTACATTAGGGTAACAGATAAAGAAATGAGCTCAATAATATGGAGGGAAAAAGTAAGAAGATGAGCAAGAAATGAAGAAAAACAGAAGTTTATCACCAAGAAGATGAAGATTCTTAAAGAATCATTGATTCATATCAACTTTAGTTACTTTGCGAGTTATATCTTCTTTTTTCACGTTCTTTTTTTCTTTCTCTTCATCATCATCTTCTTTAGCTTATTCGTCGTGTTATTTTTTTTCTCTTAGTTCTCTCATCATTATCTTGTGAGTTGAACTTTTTTTTTTCTTTTTATTTTTGTTCAATTTCATGTTCATCTTAATCTTTCGTCAATATCTTCGGGACTTAGGAATTCATGTTCTATTATAAAGAATTGAATTGATTGAATTCATTTGGTCTTTTCATGTTTTCTTTTCATTATCAGAGATGATAGAAACAACATTGTTGGTGATAATGATGATAATAACTGGATTATAAATATTAGGTTGGAACAATAGTTTACATAATTAATATTAATATTATTTTTCTCTGTTAGACTAAATCTGTAAGGAAACAATTATTGTTACTCTATTTCTTCATCCCTTAATATCTTCATTATTTTTGTTCATCATCATCATTATCATCTTAGTTTTTTTTCCTATGCTGATTGATTCTTGTTTCCAAGGGACTATTTATTACAAATTTGCAAAAGCGTCCTTGGAGATGCTGATGGTGGGAAAAAAGAGGCAAAAGAGGAGGATGATAGTGGTGATGGTGGTGGTGGTGGTTAGTGATGGTTCAGCAAAAGAAATAAGAAAATGTCAAATAAATGTTATCATGGTAAATGTTGATCAAATTAATTTCCATTTTAGCTCAACAGTGTGTTACTATAATCACAATTTTCGGGTTGATAACAACAATTTAACCAAATAACAAACACACAAGAGCAACAGCAAGATAGGAAGAAGAAGAAGAAGACGAGAAGAAAAAAAAGTTCAAATACAACGAAAGAGGAAGAAAATAGTTGATTAGTTTATGAAGAGGAGGAAGAGGATGGTGAGAGAGCGAGAGAGAGGAGGAGGTGATGAGAGAGTGAAGTGCTTATATCTCAGCATGAATATACGATCATCTCAGTGGTATAGCCTCATTTTAACAACACAAATTCATTTCATTAGCTCATTGCTCGGCAAAAATTCAGTAACATTTTTGTTGGCTAATGAAGTCATTTCCAATCCTGTTTCTCTCTCTCTCTCTCGCTCTCTCATTACTCCTGTAACTGTATTAGTGATAACATTATTCTGAATCTTTACATTGATTCCTAACTAACATATTCTGTCACATTCTTACCCTCGACCAACTCCCCATGAGAGTATGTGTTGAATAAAGTATTACTTTTTTTCTCTCTCTCTCTCTCTTTCTCTATGATAACATTGGATTCTTTTGACTTTTTCCCTCCCAACATCAACCTCTTTGAATAACAAAATAGCTTCATGTTGATGGTGATCAAGATTATAAATAATATTATTACCATTACATCATTATAATCAATGGCACTGGAATTATCGTTGATTAGATAATAAAATTGACCAATATAAAAAGTATCAAACATACTGTGAAGGAGCAATTAATTTTATTTGCTTGATTAACAATTTAATCATTGATATAAAATTAATCTAATATACTGGTAAATGGACAGAGTGATCTATGGACGATAAAAGGTAAAAATCCATAAAAAAAAAGGTAAATGAAGTTACATTTATATTTATTGGACAAAGATGACGATCAAAAAAAGAGTAAGAAAAAAGTAACAATAACCGTTAGAAAAATGAAAGAGAAAAAATGACGAAAACAATAGAAAAAAAATCTATCAAAAGTATCTTTAAATTGTTTTTTTTCTCTGCCAAATTAAGAGAAAGAAAAGTTGAAAAAATTTTGTTCTTTTTAGAGAACAAAAAAAAGAGAAAAATTAACTTACATTGATTGGCCATTTTATTGTGTCATTTTCAACACTTTCGCAGGTTGAATGTAACTCGGTGGTTGGCAACAGGTGTCAAAGATCTTAGATCGGTGAAAGTTTACAATCAACTGTCGTTAATCAGTTAATCTCAATGGTAACAATTATTAACACAATTAAAATGGAAACGATTTAGTTTCTTGACACAATCAACGTTCATGTTAACCACTTTTCTTGCAACTGATTGTAATGCTTACATTTTCCCTCTTTAAACCGATAAAGTGAGAACATCAAATGGAAAAGAGAGAGAAGAAAAATTCCAACAACCTGATTGGTCGATGGAAGGGGAAAGTAAGGGGAGAATATTAGGGATCACATATGAATAAAAATACGATCTTTTTCTTCTCTCTCATTTTCTTTCGGTTTCTCTCTCTCTCTCTCTCTCTCTTCTCTCTCTCTCTCATTACTCCTGTAACTGTATTAGTGATAACATTATTCTGAATCTTTACATTGATTCCTAACTAACATATTCTGTCACATTCTTACCCTCGACCAACTCCCCATGAGAGTATGTGTTGAATAAAGTATTACTTTTTTTTTCTCTCTCTCTCTATGATAACATTGGATTCTTTTGACTTTTTCCCTCCCAACATCAACCTCTTTGAATAACAAAATAGCTTCATGTTGATGGTGATCAAGATTATAAATAATATTATTACCATTACATCATTATAATCAATGGCACTGGAATTATCGTTGATTAGATAATAAAATTGACCAATATAAAAAGTATCAAACATACTGTGAAGGAGCAATTAATTTTATTTGCTTGATTAACAATTTAATCATTGATATAAAATTAATCTAATATACTGGTAAATGGACAGAGTGATCTATGGACGATAAAAGGTAAAAATCCATAAAAAAAAAGGTAAATGAAGTTACATTTATATTTATTGGACAAAGATGACGATCAAAAAAAGAGTAAGAAAAAAGTAACAATAACCGTTAGAAAAATGAAAGAGAAAAAATGACGAAAACAATAGAAAAAAAATCTATCAAAAGTATCTTTAAATTGTTTTTTTTTCTCTGCCAAATTAAGAGAAAGAAAAGTTGAAAAAATTTTGTTCTTTTTTAGAGAACAAAAAAAAGAGAAAAATTAACTTACATTGATTGGCCATTTTATTGTGTCATTTTCAACACTTTCGCAGGTTGAATGTAACTCGGTGGTTGGCAACAGGTGTCAAAGATCTTAGATCGGTGAAAGTTTACAATCAACTGTCGTTAATCAGTTAATCTCAATGGTAACAATTATTAACACAATTAAAATGGAAACGATTTAGTTTCTCGACACAATCAACGTTCATGTTAACCACTTTTCTTGCAACTGATTGTAATGCTTACATTTTCCCTCTTTAAACCGATAAAGTGAGAACATCAAATGGAAAAGAGAGAGAAGAAAAATTCCAACAACCTGATTGGTCGATGGAAGGGGAAAGTAAGGGGAGAATATTAGGGATCACATATGAATAAAAATACGATCTTTTTTTCTTCTCTCTCATTTTCTCTTTCGGTTTCTCTCTCTCTCTCTCTCTTTGTTTTCATTTGTCTCCCTCTTTCATTCGCTGTCGCTCATTTCTTGTCTCTTTCTCTCTTTCTCTCTTTGTCTCTGTCTTTTTTATTCTCTCTCTCTATTTATTCTCTGTCTATGCAGCCATTTTACTCTTCTCTCTCTTTCTCTCTTTCTTTTCTCTCTCTTTCTCTCTCTCTCTCTCTCTCTCAAGGTTTGCTTGTCTTTCTTAGTAACCACTTCCTTTGACCAAAAAACATATAAATATATTTAAGATCAATTTGATTTAATTAATTTAAAATTTTGAATCAATCAACAACCACCTTGCTTAATCCTCGTGTTCTTTGTGTTTTCTATTAATCCTATTAACAAGTGTTACCAAGTTTCCATTGAACATCTTAAAATGCAAACTGTTGAAAAGGTTGCAAGAGGTGTTGACACCGAAGAAGACTGGAAATCCAATCTTAAGATTCCACCCAAAGATTTGCGAAAGAGGACATCTGATGTGACCGCTACCAAGGGCAATGAATTCGACGAGTTTTGTTTAAAAAGGGAGCTCCTCATGGGAATCTTTGAGAAAGGATGGGAAAAGCCATCACCAATCCAAGAAGCTGCTATTCCTATGGCTCTGTTGGGTCGTGATATGCTGGCTCGTGCTAAAAATGGTACTGGCAAAACAGGTGCTTATGTGATCCCTATTTTACAAAGGATCGATGTGACCGCTGATCATATCCAGGCGTTAATCATTGTGCCAACTCGAGAATTGGCCTTACAAACCAGTCAAATTTGTATCGAACTCTCTAAATATCTCAATGCTCGTGTTATGGTGACTACTGGTGGAACTAATCTCAAAGAAGACATCATGAGGATCTATGAAAAAGGTAAGCGATCCTCTCAACCACCTTGTGCTCCAATCTGTGATCTAACCTCTTCTTTATTCCCTCTTCTCTCTCAGTTCATGTCATAATTGCCACTCCAGGGCGTATTCTTGATTTAATCGACAAGGAGGTCGCTAAGGTTGACAAATGTAAAATGCTGGTGCTCGATGAAGCTGATAAATTACTCTCTCAAGACTTTAATGCTATGTTAGATTCATTGATATCGTACCTTCCCAAAGATAGACAAATCTTAATGTTTTCCGCAACTTTCCCTCTCACAGTAGAAAATTTTATGGTGAGTCAATTCATTGTGCCTTTAGCCTGTTAACAGGTTGTTTTTATTTTCTCTCTCTCTCTCTCTCTCATTCAACAGAAAAAACATCTACACGATCCCTATGAACTAAATTTGATGGAAGAGTTGACACTTAAGGGTGTCACCCAATATTACGCATTTGTCCAGGAACGACAGAAAGTACACTGTCTCAACACCTTATTTTCTAAGCTGCAGATTAATCAATCTATAATCTTCTGTAACTCAACTCAAAGAGTTGAACTTCTGGCAAAGAAAATAGCAGAGCTTGGTTATTCTTGCTATTACATTCATGCTAAAATGTCCCAACCTCATCGTAATCGGGTATTTCACGACTTCAGGAGTGGTCTCTGCCGTAATCTAGTTTGCTCGGGTAAGCATAGAGGTCAAGAGAAGGTTGCAACCACCTTGCTCTGTTGATGGGTCAATTTTTTAATCTTTGTTTTCTCTTCCATTTTAGATCTTTTTACCAGAGGTATTGACATCCAAGCTGTCAACGTGGTGATCAATTTTGATTTTCCCAAGATGGCTGAGACATATTTACATCGTATTGGAAGATCGGGACGATATGGACACATGGGAATCGCCATTAATTTAATCACATATGAGGACCGATTTAATCTCCACCGAATCGAACAAGAATTGGGTACAGAAATCAAGCCAATTCCTAAAGTAATCGACAAGTCGTTGTACGTACCAGAATTCCAAATTGATGACACAGAGAATGGTGATAACGAATGTAATTCCGCTAAAACAAAATGAAACCGTTAAAAGATTTTGGATTGACAACCACCTAGTTTCTACTCTCTCTCTCTCTCTTTCTCTCTCACTCTCCACCCAACTTTCTCTTTCTTCCTCTCTCTCTTTTTTTCTCACAGCCTTTGTTGTCTCCTTCCAATGACCCTTGCAACCACCTTACATTGTAATCCCTCGATTTAGATTTAATCCTTATTCTGGTCTCTTTTTCCTCTTTTGCGCATCAAAAAAAAATCCTGGATGTTACAAAGTACCAAAAACCACTAATTCTGTTTATTTGTATCTTTTTCCCTCGCAACATCAACCACTTTGAATAACAATAAACAAAAGTTACAAAGAAGAAACAAAACAATCAGGATATTATTGATTAGATGATTCGAAGAGATTTAGATAATTAAGATGATGATGATACAGAATGATTGATAAAATCAAATTAAATCTTGATTGTCCCAATCACAATTGAGAAAACTGTTCATCAAGATATGAGAAAAAATCTAAATCATTTTTGTTTTTCTGGTTACTCTCAGAAATTAAATAATTTCAATGATCTTTCATTAGATTTTTAATCGATAAACCGATTAATTGGAACTTGTTAGATTATAAGTGAGACAATTAAAAGCGAGAAGAAAAAAATGAAAACAACAATTAACAATCAACAACATTTCTCTAAATTAACTAACATTCCCTCACATGTGACATGTTTGTTTACCTTTTCTAAGGAACAGCCTATTCGACCAGAAATCTGTGGTTAAATAGTTTCTGCGCTTAAATAACCAGAGAGGAAAAATCTAATCAGTTTTAACTCTAATTAGTGAATTATTCTTGTTTTGATAATGAAAAGTGATCAATTAACAATCAAAAGAAATATAAGTGAAAAAATAAAATTCTCAGAAAATTCTGTTTTTTTTTCTCAGCTGAAAAAAAGTTAACCACCTTGTCTTTCGCCCTTTGTGTCCGATTTAAACTATTGATCTAAATTGTTTTATTGATTGATAAGAAAAACAATTAACTCAACTACTATTAAAAAAGAAACTAAAATGTAATCATTGTCAATGATGATAAAAAGGTATTCCTAATCCTGATTCCAAGCGAAAAGGTAAGCAAATCTTTCAATATCATCTTAATAAACTAACGATGCACCTAAACTTAACTTGATTGTGATTAAAATTAATACAGTCAACTGCCAGATAATGAGACTGCCAGATAATGAGACTCTCTCTGAAAATAGCTTAAAATCACTATTAACACAGAAAATTTAATTTCTATTAATTAATTACTGAAACACTTAATGAGCTTTTTGAGCCCCTTTTCCTATCAATTTACCCTTTTGAATGACCAATACTAATTTTAATCATTTTTAATTAAGAAAATTTCGATCAAATTTCTTAAAAATGATTAATTAACAAAAGTAAACAATTAAAAACACAGCTCGGTTGTCTTGGTTACAATAGAAACGTTATTTTAAGAGAGTCTCATTATCTGGCAGTTGACTGTATGTAATTAATACTAATGATCCAACCCATTTCATAGGAATTAAATCAACAAAACTCGAGATACAAAACCAGAAATAGTAACTCAACCAACAAATTTACTCATGTGAATGGCAATTATCCAAATGAACACAAAGAATCAACTTTCGCTGGTAAATCAAGTTCTTAACGTTTTCTTTTCCTATACTCGCTAATGATTAACCTCCAAGTTTGTCCACTAATTATTTCATCATTTTTAATTCACTCTCATCCGAAGTCATTACAATCCGTTGGTTAACAAATCTCACAATTTTCATCTCTATTTCTCTCAATGATACTCCCTTGTTTTCCTAATCAACTCTAATTGTTTTTCTCTCGATTACTTGAATAGTATTTTATTTACCATTTTATTCAATTTTTTTGTTTCTTCTCTTTTTTAATTGTTCTCTTAAATAATCAACAGTTGATATTCGATTAATATCATTGGATTTAACCTTCACCATGGACAAATTGTCATCAAATAAGTTAGCCTGGTGCTCCAATGGAACCTACTTGACTATTCATAATCACAATAAGAAACCATTGAATATTTTAATGTCATCATTAGACGCGTAAGTAAATCAACAACATTTTCAGATGATTAGTTAATTGTCTGTCCTCTTGTCTGCGATTTTCACTTGAATAATAACAATTTGCTCCTCTTGTATTCTATTGTTATTGGTGTCATCTTGATTAAGGTGTTTTGATTCATTTCTATTTACAGTTACCTAATCATAAACATTATCTTGATATTTGTTTACTTTTATTGCTCATTTATTTTTCTAATTTTATGATTTTATTTTGTTTCCCTCTCTTCCGATGTGTTTATTTACTCACCATGGTTTTCAACGATAACTTTGCAATCTTTTTCACCTTGCATATTTACCTGTAGTTATGGTCATTTTAATGCGATCCTTGGACTTGGTGAGAAATTAGTTAAACGTGGACATCAAGTTTATTATGCAAATCGATCTGGATATAAGTCTATGGTTGAAGCTTCGGGTTTACAGTTTATTCCAATCGAAAAATTTGATCCGTCCATGGGAAATTATGAAGCCAATCAATTTATACTCAAATTTATCGACAATTACAGTAAACAAATGGAGAAATCGTCACTTGATAGGTTGACTAACTGGTCATTTAATGATCTTTTTAATAATCTTGGTTATTTCAGTGAAATGAAAAGGATGGAGAAAGTTTTAGAAATGATCATTAATCAAATGAAACCAGATCTAATTATCGGTGATTTTACTTTTGCACTGCCACTTTTTACTAAATGTACCATCCCATGTATACCCTTATTATCAACAAACCCGTTACCGTTATATGGTGATCGAGGTCCACCTGTTGCTTCAGGCTATCCTATTGATGGACCCAAAGATGTTTGGACAATTTATCGTAAAGCCGAAAAACGAGCGATGTTTGGATTACGATTGTACATGAGACCTTGGTGGTGGAGAAAGTGTTTATCGCCACCAGAAACATCACAACTTCGTTCATTTGCAAAGTATTTTGGTATTTACGTTTACCCATCGGCTCTTGACTATGACTCTGACCTGGGGGCACCTTCATCGAATTGGACTCGGCTTGATATGTGCATCCGTCACACCTCAGACGATTTCCGATTACCTGATTGTTTGAATGGAAAACCAGGTAAATTGATTTACCTTTCGATGGGATCATTAGGATCAGTAAACTTGAAACTAATGAAAAGGTTGGTGGAAACACTTTCGTCCAGTCCTCATCGATTTATTGTCTCAAAAGGTTCTAAAGGTGATCAATTAACGTTACCAGATAACATGTGGGGAGATAATTTCGTCAATCAATTGGCCATTTTACCAAAAGTTGATCTGGTCATCACAAACGGCGGTAGTAATACAGTCATCGAAAGTTTATCGGCCGGTAAACCGATGATCGTGTTGCCCCTTTTCTACGATCAACTCGACAATGCTCAAAGAATCGAAGAGAAAGGTTTGGGACGTCGATTGGATCCATTCAAGTACGAAGATGATTATTTTCTCAGGACAATTGAAGATCTGCTCAATAGTCAATCGGTTCACAATAAAGTGGAAAAAGTTGCTCGTGAGATGACAAAAGCATCAGAACAGAACAAAATTTGTGAATTGATTGAATCATTAGCGTTTCATGTTAAGTTTGGTGGACCAGTTGATCCAGAATTGAAGCAAATTTTACCTCATTTGGATAAAGTTTGTCCGAATGATAAACTGAAGCTTTGATCAGAACTTTTTTTACAAAAATTGTTTAAAACCAATTTTACCTCAATTAATGTTGTAACTTATTTTCCAATCAGTAATTTGACAAGTTCTGTTTACTATTATTAGAAAGACTTTGATAATCTTTCCTATCCTCTACAATTAGTAAATGAAATAAATTGTAAATTCATATGAAATTTTAATTTGGCCACATAAAGACTGAGCTTTTTATTAGCACTTCAGCAGATTTCAGGGGAATGTTCATCACGAAACGAATCAGGGATTAGGGGAGAACATGAGATGTGCGTATTTCTTGGACAATACAATTAGATTTTAAACTGAACACGAATTTGATCTTAACAAAAGCTCAAGAAAATTAATTGATTTTTCATTTTGTTTTGAGAAAGAGAGAAAAAAGATAATCGTTTGGATAAACAGGATACACAGATTATAATTGATTACGAGATTGATTATTGATTTGATTAAATTTAATTGTATGCATACGGCCTTAGAACTGTTTTAATTTAATCGCTGTTTATCTTTTTCCAATAAGTTTCGTTCTACTTGGAGGATTTTTTGTAGATTCGAGTGGCGGTAACTTCACCACATGTACAAGTCTAAAAGAAAAGAAAAGAAAAAATAATTGTTCTAATTATTATCAATTTCATCTCATATGTTTTCAAGTCGATTGTTAATATTAAACTTCCGGACAAGTTGTTGATGCTTTAAATCAATCAATCTTGATCCATTGATGTCATAGAATTCAAATTGAATCAATTAACTAAATAATGTTAACAGTAATCAGGTTGAAATCAACCAGATGCCTGAGCTAATAGTATTTGTAAATGAATAAAAAAACAAACAACGTGTAAAAGATGATAAGGATGAATAGAGGATAAAATGAGTCGGATTTGTCTGAGTTAGTCTTGAATAAACTGATAACCATATTGAAAACTTGAACAACGCAACAGTGAAAATCTGAGCTGCTTTGATTCCTTTGAATGAAGATGATTGAATCCCTAAAATGGTTCTTTCTCTTTTTCTTACTCTTGCTTTTCATCTTTTACAAAATTGAAAAGTCGATAAGTATTGCCTATGCGCTTTACTCACAATTTTCATCTCATCCCCGTTGAATTCACGAGTAATTTCAGCCGGAGGCTCACTTTGCTGCTTCTGGATCAACTTGTTACCTTCTTGGGTGACGGTGCTCTGTGAATGGATTAAGATGGTTGAGAGAAAACAATTAGAGGCTGATAAAAAGTGAAACATTGAGAATACTAATTAACATTAGTCTTCTCGATAGTTACAATAGATTAGGAGTATTTTTGTTTCAGCAACGAAACATAAATCCAACGATTAACCAACAGAGTAAAAGGATAATCAGACAAAATTTTGCTTGGTTAGTCATTGGAACATATCAAATTGTTAATTATTGCTTCAACTACCGGAAATAAATTTCCATTGATTTATGATATCGTTAATTGTTCAATCTTTTTATCTTTGATTCTCACCTTACAAGTTACCCCATCCATACGTTTCTCTTCAAACTCTTCGTTTAATTTGAATTTGGTCTCGGAGGTTTTGAATGTTGATATTGATTTAAAGGTGATGGTTCCATCATCGTCGACCTT